ACCAGCCTGATTGAATTCATTGCATACAGGAAGATGAAAGAAAGCTTGTCATTGTAAGTTCAATGTCTTCTACAGGAACTTTCAAATGAGGGGGCAAAAAGAAAAAAAAAAAGGGAGCTAGAGAATAGACGCCTAATAAAATTTGCAGTGAGGCTTTGTGCCTGCATGGCAAAGGACTTGGCCTAGTATTTTCTCCATTGCTGATACCGTCTTTTAAATCAAGAAAGGTGGTAATCTTGCTATGTTAAAAATATTAAGTCAGTGACCAGAAATCATGAGGTTGGTTTTAAATCATAGAAATTACTGAGTTATTTTGTTAGCCTTCCTTTCTGAGCTCGTTCAGTTAGGATCTGCTCTCCAGTCTTCAGGCATGTATCTTTACAGAGACTCTTCACAAAAGTACTACCTGATTATGGACTAAGGGCTTGCCCGAAAGGAACCATAAGCTGGAGATAATAAAAAATGAGTGAATAGGAGCCGGAACAGCGGGCATTTTGTGTCAGCTATTATTTAGCAAGTAGTTTTTAACATTTCTCTGAATTTGATCATTATAGACAGAGCCACAGCATAAGAGCTTATTTGCCTTGTTTGTTGCAGAAACTTTGCAAAATGTTTAGTTCTTTTAATGAGCCAGTACAAATGTCTGAGTCCTTTTGCCCAGGAGTATTGTCCGTTGCTGTTTAATAAACAAAGATAGATAGATAGATAGATAGATAGATAGATAAATAGATAGATAGATAGATAGATAATCCCTCAGATAATTTGGGTTTGTTTCTTAGCTGTGCCTGTTAGAGAAGAAGCACTTTCAGAGGTGCTCATTTACCTGCTCCAAAAGTGCTTCTCAATTAACAGCAGCTCTGTCAGTCCCTCTGTATCCTAATTGTGCACTTTACTGGATTTCAGTATGGATTTGTGCACACTAAGTTTCCTCTTTCTTTGCCAGAATGGCATGATGGGGACTCAGTGTCATTATGAATTAACGTCTCTGAGCAAAGCTCTCCACTGTCATCAGCTGCTGAGGCTCATTGTTGCAGCTGTTACTGGAAAGCCAGGGGATCTTTAGCTGAGAAACTGAGGCCAAATTCTCCTTTACACCAGTCAGGGCCACACACTGTCATCTTGCCATGAATTGACGCCTTGCTGGCACTACATGAGGGCAGAGGAGGTAGCAGTCTGCCAGCACTGAGTGGAGAGCTGGTTTTCATCTGTTTTGCACCCACTTTGCAATTTGCATGAGGTCTAAAACACAGTGAATGAAAGTAATAAATTACTTAGGGAAAAGATTTACAGGTCTTCTAATCGGACTGACTTTGGATGCCAAACAGAGACAGATTTGTCCTTAGCCTCCAAGATACACATGAAAGTCTTATTTTGTGTGTCACGAAATCCTCTCATAGTCTCTGGAAATTTAATTAATTGACTAGTTCTCAAGAAAGGCATTGAGAAACTGAGCTGTATAATGCTAATCCCTGCAGAATCGTTAGCAGTGAGTTGGAAAGCAGTTTTGTCCATTTCTTCCAGCCGTAGCCAACTTGGCCATTACAGTAATGTGTCACACTTGGAAGCCGGAATCTCCAAATCTTCCATCATCTTCTGATTGCTTGAGTAGTTTGTATGGCAAACACACACAGCTGAAGTATTTAACATTAAGAATAGCTCATGAAACTAATTACGATAGTACAAGCCAGGAAAAAGGGCAGGGAGGGCTGCTTTTACTGTATCTTTTTCCAGTACAAGTTTGTCTCTTTTTTAAAGCTCTACTCAAGGCATTCCATTTCCCTGCTAAATTCTTGTACCCGTGTGCAGCAAACTCCCAAGGCTGAGCCGTTCCAGTTTTAACCCTTTTCTCAAATTAGTGTTTCATTTTGTGCATACAGTTACATTTTCATGTGTTTTTCTACACTTTCCTGTCTAGCTGTAAAACTGTAAAACCTGTAAAACTGCTGCAATCATTTCTGGATTCACCGTTAAAGCTTGATTAACTATTTTAACTACAGGAATGTCGTTAATTCTGCTTGATCTGTCCTTGTGCCACATGGATTTTTCTAGGCTCTGTCACCCTATCATTCTGTAGTGGGTGGCATGCCCAGACAAATGCAAATGGAAGCATGGAGAATTTTGTTGATTTTTTTAAGGTGTTGCTTCATTCTTGACTTTCCTCCCACTACCTGCTCACTCCCTGATAAAATAAATATTTATGAAAAGTGCCTGAAAAAAACCCCCATGAGTCACCAGGAGAATTTATTATGATAGCACAATCTCACCTTAAGGGGCATGGATTCAATCAAGTTCTATGTTGAAATTCCTGTTTGGTAATCAGACCTGAACTGAAATTGTACAATTGTTCTTTTCATTTGATGTTCAAGGTTCTTTTGCTTAAAAGATTTTTAGCGGATGGCAATGCCAAATAATGGGTCAAATTCTTCTGGGAATTTTCCTAATGTAGATTAAGAGTAATTCTGTATCTTAATCATGTCTCATCAGGCTGAATTAGAATGTATTGGAAAATATTTGGCCTTATGGAAATCACAGGGAAATTAAGTTTTCTGAGACAATAAATGTTGCTGTGTTGTAACACCCTCTTACTTGTTCTGAACATTACTCAAATTCCATTTTCTGCTGGCTTGCCTGATACGGCCAACCTGACTGCAAGTGTAACAGTTGAGGAAACAGTGATTTTATGTGGGGAAAAGCTGGAGAGACTTCCCTTAGATCAGAAATATCAAAAGCAAGAAGACTGCTTTGAGATTGTGTGCATCATTGTGAAATTTCACGCCCGCAAAGGGGTTCAAGTCACCACTTCCTAAGCTAAACCTCACTCTGCCTGAGGACTGGTGAAAGTGAAATTAAAGCGGGTTATAGGCTGCCTGGTGCAGCTCTTTACTTCATCTACTTGATGTTCTACACAAGGGTGCTTAGAGGACTCTGCGTAGTCATAGATGGTCTTGCCTCCGAGTGCACACGTTCTAATGTAGGTGTGTTACTGGAAGATGTGTGGTGAACTGTGGGGAAGAAGTCTCCAAAAAGCAAGGCTTTCCTATTGGAAGTATATCTAGGCATTGCCTGAGACAACTAGGAGTATATTCTCTCTTGCAATAACGTTAATTAGTCGATGTTTTTAGAAGTTAATCTTTAATTTTTGGCCTTGTCTGATCAGATCAGTACAATTCACTCAGTCCAATGTAAGGTGGAAATCATGAGATGATGGCTGTTGTAATTCTCCTTTGTTAAATAACCGTTGATTTCACATGTTGCTCTGCTCTTACTGTGCCTAAGCGTGTCGATTCTTAAGAAAGCAGAAGCTCATGCTTCTTAGGTGTTTTTCAAAAAAATGACTATATGAAAACACGATGACTAATGGAAAGTTTTAATTTAACTTTAGTTTAAAAGCATTTAAAACTCAGTAAAACTTTTGGTTTTAGCTTGTAGTGCCTGAGCCCTGTTAGATTCCTGCTATGAAAGGCTTGTTTGACTGCTGAAATCTACTCTGGGTATTTCTGACGTTATCCGTAATCTTAGAAACAAAGAATGGGACAGAGCCAGCTTTCAAGAGGAGGGTAACATCAATCTAATCTAACCATCCTTGTCATACTTTGATATCTGTTTATATGTGTTCTGATATATTGCTTAACAGCACAGCTTTGTTACACTTGAGATAACATTTTCTGTGAGGAGTTAGGTGGACTAAAGCACATGCTTGCAATTTCCTTCTGTTCATTGAGGCCTGTTTGCTGAGAGACGTTTCCACAGACTGTCTTTCACCTTTTTTCTGGTGACTGAGATTGCAGAAATGTGCTGGCTATTATGTTGAGTTCTCATTTTATTAGATGGAAATAGGCCTCAATTATGACATTCTAGTGAAGGAGAGTGTGGTCTGTTAAGGATCTGGCACTGGCTGACATGGAGTCACAGATGAGGAGGAGACCAGGTGAGGTCGTAGTCATAGGACAACACTTCTCATGGCAGGATCATGCAGCCATTGACGTTTTCATAAAACACAGAAGACTGTGGTAGCTTTACGGGAGGAATCCCCATCCTGCTCCTTTTGTTTTGTGACCTTGTGTGAACCTCGCGTCCTCTGAAGTTTCATGGTGCTGCTTTGTGTCCTGAGGAGGCTGAAGTTACCCAGATTGTCTTGTGAAGCACAGTTGTTCCTAATTATGTCCCTAATTTCAATGCATGTGTTACATGCGTCATGGTAACTGATCAAAAATGAGCAGCACTTCTTGTTAAGGGTAGATGCATGCATTAGATGGAAGAAATGGCTGAAGAATTGGTCTGTTCAGCAACTGGCATAGGCATTTCTTTCCAGAATTTGTCTGCAGACTATCAGGCTGTTAGAGATTATATTTGAGAAGACAAAATGTAGTTTGTATGAATGAATAACAGAGTTATTCATAATGCCATTTAAGTCTGGACAATATCCTGTTAAATATTTAAAAAATGGAACCAGGAAGAGTGGGAACTCCTCTAAAGTTTAAACCAGTATATAATAGTCGTTTGTAGAGTGACTAATTTTACAAAACCTGACTTTGTGGGTGCTTTTAATACGTCAGGGTCAGGTTATCTGTGCCAACCCAAAATTCAGATATGAGGCTTACGACAGTGTGGCACGTAGATACGGACTTGTGCGAGTCATAAAGAAAAGCACGGTATAAAAGTTGGAAGGTCTCTGGGATTTTCTTACTTTCTGCAGCCTCTTGTTCTTACCTGAAAGAAAAATGAACGGATTTGTGAGTATATCCATTTTTGTTGAACTTCTATTGTAAAAAGTTCCTCATTTTTAAAAACGAAAGGATAGAGAAGATGCTCAGTTGGCACAGTCCTGGGGCTACTATGATCTGTGTATTGTTTCTCAGGGTTGTTCAGTGGGAAACTTGCATTTCTTGGGCATGCAGTAATCCTCCTGGAGTCAGCAGAAGCATTGTTTGAGCAAAGAGTGCAGAACCTGATTGCAATTCAGAAGGGGGATTTAGTTATGATTTAATAATTACAGTTGTAGGGGTAAATCAAGAAGTAACATGGCAATAAGGAGGGACTTTTGAAAAATACAGAAAAATGTAGTGGTTAGGTTGTCATTCTGCTTTTTCAGTTACAGGTAAAAGAGAGCCTAATAGCAAGAGTCTCACGGTGACAATTGTAATCGTTTTCAACTGATATATGTGTTCAGTGGGTAATTTTTCAAACGAATGCTACAGCTGCTTCCCTCAATTCGTGAACTGGGTTTCTTTATGGCACTGCCTGGTGTTTCTGTCAAGTGAGAATCCTTATTCCTTTTACAGGCTGCAGTCCTCGTTTTGCTGGGAGTCTTTTGGACTCGGACTTCTGCCTTGACCGTAAGTAGGCTGATGAGCCTTCTGGTGCACGTACTCATTTGAGATGTATTGGATCCCTGGGCAGGGGGTGAATGTCGTGGGAAGAAAAGCACAGAAGAAACCAGTGAGATGCTTATTGCCACGTGTAGAGAAATACAGCATTTGCCAGAGGTGACAATCATATAAGCCAAAGAGGCAGTTCTGTGCAAGGGCATAGTAACAAGATATTTTGGGGGGTGTAGGTCCCCTTAGCTCAAACTAAAATATGAGACTGTCGCTGTCCCCTGCCAGTCCCTGCTGCCACACGTGATGACTGGGATGCCCAATGCTGTTTTTCCTTAGCCTGCAGCGAGGGCCTGTCCCCTCCTTTCTCACTCTGAGGCACTCTTGCATAATTAATCTCCACCTCAAGAGCCTCTTGAGACTGCTAAAGGGTTGTTAAGGGGTTTAGTATTTATATATAGCAGTCATACTTGTTTGTTTGAGAGAAAGCATTTGTTTCTATTGCACTTTTTAAAGGTGCAAGCCCGACGATAAACAATGATTTTGTGTTTTTACCAAAGGCCTTTGATCTGGGAGAACTTACCAATAACTATGTCGTCGGAACTATGACAATCCACAATGAGAACAACATTGTTGATGTCAACGTCCGTTCTGGCGTGTACTCCTCTGATACCATTTTTGACTACTCACGTGTAAGTAAATCAATGAATCTGCCTGGACTTAATCTCTGAGGAAGTTTTTAAACTGGGATATTATTTTAGTGTATTCTCACCAGAAGTTGTCCTGAAACATTTTCTTTGAAGACTCCCTTTTCCTCCTCTTAGGCCATCTCCCTATTTCACCCATAAGATGGCGCACTTTAAAAGACTCGTGACAAAGCCAGTGGTGGCAGTTCATGAAAGTGAGAAGAATGTCACGGACCTCAATGAGGTCAGAGTTGAGAATGGGCTGCCATCGCTCCCGTGTAGCAAGCGCAGCAGAAGTCTGTCGGGAAAGATACGTCCAGTCTTATGGAGAGGTATTAGCACGGGCAGGCTGCTTCCATGCCCCAAAGGTGACCATGTAAATGCAAAGTCGTTCCACAACAGTAGCCTGTGTAGCCACTTCGTATTTCCCCTAGATTGGCCTAAAGAGTAGAGAGAATCAACTACTGTTAGTGGTAGCCATTTCGTAGTTAATTAACTGTATTTTTTTTAATCACAGGGGTATATTGCAACAAGATTATTTGCACGGAATGCCTGCTTTATCTTGAAAATAGATAAGGACACCATCCCAGAGCTGGACCAAATTGGACGCCTGGCTTTTGAAAGAAAGGTGAAACTCATACTGTATACAAGCAAGGCCACTGTGTGAGAGTTCTGCGGTGGGATGGGAGCCCTCCATTCTGCCTTTAAGAACTGCTGTTCTTAGGAACGTCTTTTACTGTAGTAGCAATGATGAAGCAGATCTGACAAGACAGAACTTCAAGGGAATATCATACAGAACATTTTAAAATAATGAGCAATCATGGCCCTCCCCTGCAGTTTTATAGTGGATTGTCGTTGTGACCAGAACTGTAAGACCCACTGTCCTTGGAAGTCGTGTCATTTCACTGTGTTGAGATGATCGCAGTATGATCTCTGACAGGCTTTTCCTTTTTTTTTTCATTATCATGCTGATATTTTGAGCTTGACATAACCTGAAATAATTTTGTTTGCAGAACAGAATTTAGAAATCAATTTACTTTGACCAGACTTTGACTTCCTTGTTCAGGCAAAGGTTTCATGAAGGTGACTGGAAGTATTGCCTGGAAATGAACTTGAGTTCTGGCCCGTTTTATGACAGCCTAACAGTAGTGCTTTTACGGCAAAACTTACCACCAATTAACATAACCTGTTATGGTAGTAATACAGCTCAGTTTTGCTGTGTTGGCAGAATTAGTATCTAGTGAACTTTGTTTCTGAATAGATTGAAAATACTTATTTTTCTTTAAAGGCATGTAGCTTCTTTAGCTCATCCTTTCTGTGAGGCAAAGGATGGTGATTTTAGATTTTGGGATTTTTCTCTTAACAGTGTCCTAACAGGATGAAACCAAAATCTGTATTACTGATGGTGTCTAATGTTTTCTTTTTAGACTATGAAGACAATATACTCTCCAACTAGTGTGTGGACAGAGTTTCAATCTGGTGATTCCATGTTCGGAAAGATAAAAAACTTCTTTGTCTATGGTAGACAGATTGAACAACTCTGCACAGGTCTGCCTCTCTATGAGCTTACAAAGACTGAACGTAAGTTATGAGATCAGAACATTATGCTTCTCTTATAGTGTATAAGCACCTTTCTATCCTTTAAACCTAAGTCCAGGTGGTGCCTTTGAGGCAAGGACTTATCGCCCTGTTTTAGAGAGGAGGAGTAAATTACCTAACAGGATTGAGAGGGTAAGGCTGTGGGATGCTTTGGAAAAATCTGATAAAGCACTAGTTTTCATCGTTAGGCACCTAAATATCTGGAACAGCTATTCCTGAGCGGTTTGCCTGGTGTCAGAGGAAGCCACTGTGCGGCAGCTGTACCCAACTTGTGCTCCGATGGTAGGGTGGTCCCACGAGGCATGTACTGTATGCCAGTATGCTGCCTGCTGTAGGTGGGTTATGGGAAGGCAGGAGCACAAAGTTGATTTAAAGCCTTACAGACCTTTCCTCCCTTTGGGTTACACCATAGAAGTTTTACACAGTATCCGTTGAGAGCAACAGGAGCCTCAAATAGGACCGTAATTGGGGGTTGAAATTTGTGTATTTAGCAGACTTTTCCTTACTGGATACAGGGATCCTGTCATTGGTAAAATCTTCATTTTTTTATTTCTTTCAGCACGACTGGATGTTTCAGGCTGTGCCGGTGCAGGTATTCCAAGCATTTTGGGCATTCAAATCTGTGCAGAACTCCGTAAAGCTTGATCTTGACAGTTCATCATCATCTTGGAGATCTTGGAGATCATCACCATCACCAACGGGTTGGACTAGATGATCTCCAGAGGTCCCTTCCTACCCCTACCATGTTATGATTCTGTGATTCTGTGAATTCTGCTGCATGGAAATGGCTTGGTTTTGTGCATGCTTTGGTGTCAGTAGTCATGTTCTCCAACTGGAACAAAACTCAGCATTAGAATCAGCTTGCCTGTCTTAAGCTTTGAGTGCCACAACCTGTGATATACAAATAAAGATAATGCGGTAATAGAAATGCTTTGTCTTTTTTCTTCACCCAAAAGCAGAATGAAAATGGTGGTCCTTGCTAGTTTTCTTACAGAAGAGAAACATTTCCCTTTAGTGCATTCGTGTGCTCAGGCCTAGGCACTGGTACGTGCTTCATGCCAGTGAAGAAACAGTAACAGAATAGTTTTTTCCAGTGGAGAACTTCCCCTTGGCATCAACACCCAGCCTCTTCAGGTGCTGACCCACCCTCTGTACAATTGCTGGAGGAAGGGAGCAAACAGATGAATGGGTGGATAAAGGGAGGGAGCAGATCTGTGTTACCAACATCTGCAAAGAAGCTTGAATTCTGCAGGGCCAGTGAAAATTTGTAGCAATTTGAGTAGGTGCGATGGGTCAGAGAGCTTTTTGTTCTGGGCGTTTTTCAAACCCCGATAAAGGAGACTGTCCCTGTCCTAAGAAGTTCGTAACCCAGAGTAAAATTATCTTTTCACACAACGCCAGTGTAAAAAAAAGAGCTGTGACCACTTGCTGAGTGCCCCGTATGTGTTGGAGAACAGTTTGTGTCGGGAGCAGATGAAAATATGAGATGAGCCTGCCTGCTCTTCTGGTAGATGTCAGTGAACGGTTGAATTCACACACCCTTTCCATCAGTGCT